TAACTCAAATAAAATTTAAAGTAACAATTATTCAGTAAAACTTGGTAAAACTATAACATAAACATAGAAAAATAGATAACAAATTTGTACTTAAAATATATGTATTAAATAATAGAAAAACAAGAGTATTACATAAATAGTTACTTAATTTACACTAAGTACTACACTATATATTTGCATATTTATGATTCATGTTTAAAAACAACAATTGTTGCACATTTTTTGCACTTAAGCGCGTTCGCCGCTGATTTAAAATATTTCCAGCTTTGAAAAAAATTTTTTTAATTTTTAAAAGGCACCGACGTTGCTAACGCGCAAGATTTTACTTTTACAAGTTTACTTAAGTTGGGATAAACATATTTATATTCATCCCACCACCTCAATGGGTCTTTTTTCCGGTCTAGGATATCATCTTCAAGGTATCTGTGAACCTCCAAAACTGCCTTTGAAGAAGAGGTATCTTTGGAGAATTTTTTACTTTTTTCAAAAACAGTTTTGTCAAATGATGTCCATATATTAAAAGGACAATCATCGTTTTTAAATTCTGTTTGTTCGTCACTTACTTTTGCTTCAATTTCGGTAGTCATAGTTTTAGCGAGTTCTGAAATTAATTTTTTTCTTGCTTTGTCAATTGCGTTGTTGTCTGTAAATGCATATATTTTAAAGCGAGGATCCAACATTGTGCACATGCTTAAAACACTATTGTTTTCTATATCAGAAAATCTGTCCTTAAGATTACTTAATAATTTTTGCACACACGTTTGCAGTTTTTTTGCAAAATTTATTTCCGATAATTTATCACAAACATCTAATAATCCACTGGTTACCGGTATCACCATTGAACCTGTCATATACTTTTGTCCGCTAATTGTACGAGTAGCTCCTTCAAAAGGTTCTAAAATTTTCTTCAAGTGTTTTAAGTCTTGCCACTCTTCAATTGATAGTTGAGGTAGACTTACATTTAACACAGCGACGGTAGATCGCACGGCATTTTCTAACTCAATAAATCTGTGGATCATAAAATAAGTAGAGTTCCATCGAGTTGCAAAAGTTTTTTAGGTGTTTCACACCCGGATTTTTTTTGAAAATCTATTAATTGTGCCGTTGCTTTGGAACTTCTTTTAAAGTGCGAAACAATAGATTTTACTTTATCCAGAAGTTCTTTATTGATATTAAGAGCATCACGTACTATTAAATTTAACGTATGTGCATAGCACCCAAAAAAAGAGCACTGTAAAACGTGCACTATAGCATTTTTTTATATTAGCAGCATTATCGGATACAGTCAACAAAATTTTATCTTCCAAATGCCACTCTCTGGTAATGTCTAAAAATTTTTCACTAAGATTTTCACTAGTATGATTTTTTTCAAAAACAGCACAATCCAATAACACTGAATTTAGATTAAAATTGTCATCAATAAAATGTGCAGTCACCGCCATAAAACTTTCATTATTTAACGAAGTCCAACAATCGGTAGTTAAGCACACTTGTTTTGCCTGTTTAATTAAGTCTTTTGTATTGTTTTTTAGCACTGTTCAAAAAGACTCGGAATGTAACTTTTAGAAATCATTTGCCGATTTAGTAGTTTATACGATGGATTTAACGCATTCACAAAATCACAAAATCCTTTGTCTTCAACAACACTGAAGGGTTGAAAATCGCAATAAAATAGTTTTAACAATTGTTTGTCAATGTTTTTCTTCGCATTAGCACTAATTTTTCTTGTCATGTATGAAGACACTTTCTGCTGAATTTTTGGCTCATGTTGCCCTCTAGCCATCATAGAAAAGGAAAGCTGAAAAAAGATTTTTTTGTAGTCTTCAGAAATACCTACTAATTTCTCGAAAATAGATTTTATGTATTTTTTAACTAAGTGCACTTTGAATGTAGGTACGTAGTTACTGCTGCAAAGTTGATGGCGTCGGTTCAGGTTCAGATGGATGTGCAGATTGTCTTGGAAGAGAAATGGGATGCTGTGAAAAAATATAATTTTAGATATTTCAAAAATTATCGTTTTCCGGAAAGTAACGTTCAGTGTGTAATTTATAAAATAATTACCTGCTGCGAAGGTACTGGTTCAAATAATGAATCACTTTCGGTATCACTTCTCTGTTCACTATTATCACATATGACACGTTCATCAATTATTTTAATTCTGGGATGTTTTCTAAGAAAATGTTTTTTCAAATTTGTTACGGATGATTTATACGATAAAATCTGCTTACAAATATTACATTTTGCAGTTTGTTTTAAATTATCTAGTACCGGAAAGAAATTCCAAATTGCACTAGTACGTCTACCACTCATTTTTTCTATTAAATATTTCGGCTATCAAATTAAGAATGTTTTAGTAGGACTGTCTACAGGAAACTAAAAGCAATCTCTTAAAAATTTGTATCGAATATGCTAAACAAAATAACACTTCAAATCATAGTTTAGTCTACAGATTTTCAAGCGCAAAGTCAATTGATGTATAGAGATTAGGAATAGTTATTATTAAAGCTTTTAAACTCATAAGTAGATACGTCGAAAAAAATACTCGCAAAATTATGTTATTTTAAACATCGCTTGAGTGTCGTCTTTTTTGTACATACCTAATGTGTTAAAATAATAAAGGGTGCTTACGAATAACTCATTATCATTACGAAATGCGGTTTTTTTTGGACGATGGACATTGATTTTTTCTATGGTCCAAAAATATTTTTGTCATTGTAGGTAATTTTTATATAGGGTGGCGCAACAAAGTTATATTTTTTCTTATGGAACACCCGGTATATTATGCGCTTATTTGAAAGAGTTTTTAATTCTAAGAATATCCATGTTAGGTTTTATGGGTCTATCTTGGACAGATGCCTGACAGCGATTTGTGGGACCATGGTCATTGGTTGCCGTGGATACCACTTATTCAAAATTCATATTTTTCATTTTCAGCGTTGTGCAGTGCTCACTTTAAATTAAAATATCTTTAAAATGGTCCATCTTAGTGATATAAAAGGTTTGCGTTATTTAATCGAACTTGATTACTCATTAGATTTAAGCAATAAAAAATTAGTGTTAAAAGGCCAAAAAACGGAAAATGTGACCTGCAACTGCTGAATCCGGAAATTGAGTAGATGTATCCGGTTTTCGTAATTACTAGCCTAAACGGTATGTTCTCGCAAGTAACTATTCCAAATTTTATAATATTTGGACAAATAGTTCCAAAGTTATTATAAAAAAAAAAAAATTTTCATACCCACATTCCGAGGGGTGTAAAATTCTTACCAAGAGAGATCGGACACGAGTTATTATTTAAATTAACATCATTTTGTAAGTCATTTTTGAGGTTCAAATATTGCTTCATATTTGTGAATAATCCTGTATTATAAAGTATGTCACTGAGGGAAGTTTTAGCCAAGTTTTCTAAATTTGGGGGACAAGGGTTAAAATGTTGTTGCAAACCAAGCAAGTTGCAGTGCTATACAAAGAAATGAGTTATAATTATATTAAATTATCCTTATTCCTTAAATTTACATGTTACTTTTTTATATCCATTAAAAACGTTTTATTTGTTTCTTACTTGTAAACGTCAATTTATCAAGTCATCTTGAAAATGTCTTAAAACTGGCTAACCAGTAAAGTGACATATTTTACTAGTTAGCCACTATATTCTGCAACTTGTACTTTAATATACTATTTTTCTATTTTGCGTTTAAAATAAGTCTATTCCAGCACCCAAATGACGTCATTTGAATGCTTTAATAAGTCATTGGCGTTAATTTAATTTTACTGATGGACTTTCTTCACTATTCATTTTCAAATGTTAAAATAAGAATTATTCTTATTTCTCACAGCCGCCTAAAATCATTCCACATAAATGTCGCCAATCGTCGCAAAATTCTCTAGATGATACAAAGCGGCAAAATAAAAAAATGGTAAAAAGCACTTATTGTAGAAGGTTCTTCAAGCACTCATTTGTTCCTCAACTTGCCGCTACGCGTCTCGTTTCAGAATTTCAAATTTGTACTTGAATCGTGGAGGGAGAAACAACTGGAGAGAGCGTGTCCTATACCGACTATGTTAGGTTTTTGGTCGAGCTGCAAACACCTTTTACGACCTTTTTTGAATCAGTTCAGTTTAAGTCTGGTTTTGTTAAGTTCAAGTTTTAAGTTTTGTTAAGTCTTAGTCTCTCGAACCATTCATTATTGTAAAAGTGAATTAATTGTGAATTTATTGAAATAATTGTAAAAGTGAAGTTGTAATAATAAGTGTGGAAATAAGTGGAAGGGAAAATAAATAGCTATTTTTGTATTAAGGGCGTGAAGGAGGCGATTGAATAAGACTTTTTGTAAAATCCACCTTTAAGCTTTGAAAATAAATGGCACGATTCGTTCTCAAAAATTGAGTTGTTGTTGGTTGATAATGTGATGCAAATAAATAAAAACAAAATACTGAAAAAATTATTGACGTATTTTTTCAATCGGAAAACGAAAAACAAGAAAAAATAGCTATTTTAGCCGAAGAAGCGAAAGCTGTAACACTTGAGTTATTGCCACGAAAATCAAGACAAATCTACGAAAAAACTTTCAATGAATTTTTGCTATGGTGCACCTAGAAAAATATCGCTGTCGGCCAGATTAGTGAAAACGTTTTACTTGTTTATTTCAAAGAGTTGCAGAAATTTTGCCCATTTACCTTATGGTCCCATTATTCTATGATTCGTTCGGTTATGGTTTTAAGGCATGGTGAATGTGAATGTAAACATATGATTTTGTTAATTTTTTTAGTTTTTAAGTTGTTATTTTAGGTATTAGCTAATTGTTTGTAACTACATATTTCAATAAAAGATATTACAATTGCTGTTTTTTTAGGACTTAGGGCGCAAAAGACACTATTTACGCCCGCAAATTAATACATAAATGACCTAATTTTAAGACGATTTTACAAAAAATAATTTAAAAAAAAATTAATTTGTTAACGCTCTTCCTGTATAATGTCTCTTTCAAATCCGTATCTTCTATAATAACGAAGACATATTTTTTTGTACTTCGCCAAAATGTCAACTTTTGTCTGTAAAGTCGAAAACAAAAAAAGGTAGCGGGATGCGGTTTTAACTATATTATTTTCTCAAAAAATAAGCCCCAGAATGAAGCACTCGTTTTTGGCTAAACCTTTTAATTTCAGAGATTCGGACATCCAAAATGCAGCACCCTGTATACTACAAGACAACTTACCTTTATTTGCGATTTTAACTGTTCCAGAGGGAGTTGCCAGTGTTTCAATATACTTGTAAACCTTGCTAACAACAAGCACATCTTCTTTTGAGTTCATATTAAAGGAAAAGCTTTCACAAAAGCGGTCAAGCCCAGTAAACAATCCACATAACTGTTTGTTTGACTGGCTTTGGTTAATCATTTGTGTCTCTAATCCATTTAAAAATACAGTTTTTAGATGTTCACTGTTTGGCACCAAATATTGAAAATGTTTAGCAAAAGTTCCCAAAGCTATAAATGTCTTCTCTTGAACTAAAAGAAAATCAATTAAAAAGAAATTGTCTTACATTTGTAATTTACCTGAATCGGTTTTAGAAATAGAAATACTTTTCAACAGATTATTGTAAACTTCTGCATAAATCTCAGAATTGTCAAGATACAATTCTTTTTCAAATATGAGAATGACAACTTCAAGTGACTTAACTTTTTCATCAGAACTGACCAGCAATGATTTAATTACTTTGAAGCACATATCAAATATTACAACAACGTATTTCTTAAGTTTAACAGGAAAATTATTAACCAGAGCATAAATTATTTCAAAAATTTTTACTATAGATGACTTGAAAGGCTTTTTGTTAACAATTTTTTTCACAAAATTGAGTAACCCAAATGATGTATTAAAGAACAGATGTAGACTTAGATCTAAAATATACAATTTTATAAGAGATATGAATTTGATTTCTAACCAATTCCTCACCAAGGTTAGTCAAATTTATTTGTTCGTATGTAAGAGCATCACTAAAATTGTTTAATAACTGAACACATTGTTTACTGCCAATATCATCATCTTCTTCTAAGTACTTGTACAATAATTTTAAAAAGTCTCTGGGTCTTATTAGGTCCATAATTTAAATGTTCATAACCTAAAAATAAAAAATCGTTTATGTAATTCCACTTGGTAAATTAACAACCATGTAATAGTGATACAATATCCAAAAAATTGGCTGCATAAAAACATTAGAACCAAATCACTGATTAGTTAAACATTTAAAGTATAATAATACCCATAGATAAACAATACCTATCTAACCACAAAAAACGTTATATCTAATAAAATGGCGGAAAATAGCATCAACAAAATTACAGTGGACCACACACGTGGTGCCGGCTGTGCGTTTTATGCCCAGATTATAGTGAAAAGGTTGCCTCGTAACTTTGCACCAATCACGTGTGCGCATTATTCGCGCTATTTGACGTCACTGGAGGTTTCGTTTAAAAATAGGGTATGCAACCAAACATATTAATAAGTTAAAAAACTACATAGAATTCCGTAAAATAAATACTGATAAAATATTTTTTATTAAGGGTAAAATAAGGAAAATATATACGTTGATATAAAAATATAAATTTATTTTGATAAAACTTGCAATATTTTAATTTATAATTTTATTCATTTTTTCTAGTCCGGTCAAAATAGACATTTCAAATAACTAAAATTCCGACAGAGCTAAATTTTGGTGGAGATCTAGGGTACACTATTAGGAATAAAGTGTCAAAAGTCCCCATCGATCCCRTGTGTGCTAAAAAAGTTATTCGGGGTCAAAGGTCAAAATTTGACGTTTTTTACATTTTTTTCGAAAACGGTAAGTTTTATCAAAAAAGTAGCCCAGACAAAAATTATAGATCTTGAAATTATCTACAAAAATGCTCCTTATACTTTTTTTCTAAGAATCACCATTCCTGAGATATCGCGATTCTAAAAGTTGAAGGAGTCACATTCTACATGATATGCACATACAGAGTGCGCCAGAACTCCTGTCTCAAAGACAAATGCCATGTAGGGTAAGGTACCACAAACATGGAAAAAATTAAAAAAAAATCTATCTATAAAAATTTCAAAGTTATGAGAGTTTAAATTTTGCACTTTGACTCTATTTATTTCTGTAGGAAAAATAATTTTCTAAGTTTTTTTGCTACAGGCTATTAGAAGCGGAAACAAGGAAGTTGTATCCTAAACTGTAACTCTGTTTAATGTTATTTGTGGCTTTTATTGGCAAAAGTTTTGTACCTTTACTAAATAATTGTAAAAAAACATATACAAAATCATCAGTATTATTAAACAGACATAAAAAAATGTCAAATGTCAAAAAACAAATGTCAAAATTTTTTGACAGATAGAATTTTTTAAACATTTTTTTTATGTTTCAGGTATCTTATCGTACTTGAAATTTTTCTTCTACTTCATTAAACTTATAAATGTCTTGATTCCATTAGAATTAAAAAGAATTTATTTGGTAATACATATAGAATGTTTAAAAAATCGCGCACTTCCTTGAAAGGGAGTAATTGGGTAGTCCTCAGAGTATTGAAAAAATGTTTAAAAAATTCTATCTGTCAAAAATTTTTGACATTTATTTTTTGACATTTGACATTTTTTATGTCTATTTCATAATACTGATGACCTTGTATATGTTTTTTCATAATTATTTAGTAAAGGTACAAAAATTTTGTCAATAAAAGCCACAAATAACATTAAACAGAGTTGCAGTTTAAGATACAGCTTCCTTGTTTCCGCTTCTTATAGCCTGTAGCAAAAAAAACTTGGAAAATTATTTTTCCAACAGGAATAAATAGAGTCTACAGTGCAAAATTTAAACACTCATAACTTTGAAGTTTTTATACACTATATTTCTCTGGATAGTAGAATTCTCAAGGTCACAATTTACGAGTGTACTCAACTTTTATGCACAACGAAGTAACCTTGACAAATACACTGATCACTTTTGACAGCATTTTGACATTTATTGACAATCCGCGAACAGCTGGTGTTTTAATTAGTAAATCTTGAGTTTATTTATTTAAATTGATTTTAATGTGCTCGTTAACGGAAACCGAAGGGACTACAATACATCCTATTTGATTTGGATATTTAAAATAACCCAAAACATGAGTGTTTGAATAGTATTTGAACGAGTTTTATTGAGCTCCAATTTTGGTTAAATCACTCGAAGGTATATGAAAAATACATTTATTTTCAATTTACTCATAAAAGGTAATTGCAAATCTATCAGATATAATCAACTCAGATAGAAGCATCTGTAGGCAAAATCAGTAGAATCTGGAAATTTTATCCAACAATATTCGTTCTTGCGCAAAACCAAAGAAAGGATCAACTTGGATTTGCTTCCCCCTAGATAGGCCTGCTTGTGACCTTATTCATAGAAGCAAAAATTTATTTTAAATGATTTGATGAACTGCAGAACTATCGTCACAATAAAGAATTATGCTAATCCTCCAACATACCAACACCAAAACACGTATCACAAACTCCTATCACTGAAGCACAAAACTAAATTTGTGATGGTTAACTATTAGTCCTTAACAAACCTTTGAAATTTACCAAAAAGTAATAAAACAATCTCGTTATCCAGTATAAGTCAAATATCTACGAAATATTTGGAGGGTTTTCCGATTTTTACTTAATCAACTAAACCACTGCACCACTAAAGGTTTCCTTGAGGCAACTGCGTTTCAGTTGGGAACAATAAGTTGTGAGGCACATTACCCTTGTACAAGGTGCAAGGTACGTTTCATAACAATTTTGTTAATTAAAACTATGGGTGTAGCTAAAATGTTTGTTATTATCAATAACGATATTTGATTTATTAAGAAGAACCAACCTTTTGTGCAACATTCAAAACTTTTATTTGTAAATTGATAGCTGCCACAAACACCATGGGCATGATTAACAGATTCTAGCAAGAAGATGCTTTTCTTCTTACAAATCTTTCATATCAGAGGTTCGATCAACGTTTTGAACAAAATTCTTGGACTTGGGTTTGGTGTTCCAACTTTTAATTTGATCGACACTTTTTTATCGGAGGTAATCGGAGTAATTCACTGATGTTTCATCCAAAAACAAGCTTCGGCTGTTGAATGTTCTGAATAAAGCACGCGATTGTGCCTTAAAATTTTATTAAACCCCAAAACCATCGTACATAACCTTTAATTTCAATGTGACAGAAAAAAACATCATTGCCACCTTTAAAAAATAAAATCGAAAATCATGGCTACGAGAGTCAACACAACTTTGGTAAAACCGCTAAAAACCCTGTTTATCAAATTCTACTATCAACTGAAATAGATAGTAGATAATTTTTTTTTTTAATTTTTTATATGTTCCTGGAACCTTACCCTACATGATGGCATTTGTCTTTGGGGCGCGAGTTCTGGCGCACTCTGTATGTGCATATGATGTAGAACGTTACTCCTTCAACTCTTAGAATCGCGATATCTCAGGAATGGTGATTCTTTGAAAAAAAGTGTAAGACCATTTTTGTAGATAATTTTAAGATCTATAATTTTTGTCTGGGCTACTTTTTTGAAAAAACTTGCCGTTTTCGAAAAAAATTTAAAAAACTTCAAATTTTGACCTTTGACCCCGAATAACTTTTTTAGCACACATGGGATCGATGGGGACTTTTGACACTTTATTTCTCATTAGAAATACCATTACACCATTGTGTACCCAAGGTCTCCACCAAAATTTAGCTCTGTCGGAATTTTTGTTATTTGACCACTATTTTTATGAGTAATTTGACCGGACTATTCTTTGATTTGTTTATAAGAAATTTTGTCGCTAACTATTTATCGCAGAACACTGATCTTTCTTGTATATGATTAAATTTAATTTTCTTTGCAATGATACCAAACATAAGCGATTATCAGCAAGAAGTCCGGAGTTATTATAAATAGACCGCTCTGAGTGACAAAAATCGACCAAAATCTCGACATAAATAAAAAAAATTAAACTTTAAAATCGATCCATATAACGTTTTTTACATTTCTAGTGATCTTAAAGACTCAAAAAAGTGCACGAAACGTTATTGGGTAAAGTTTAAAAAAATAACTTACGAATTTTGTGTGTTTTAAAACGCTTAAACTATGTTTTTTTAGACGTAAAATTACCCGTTGAACACGATGCAACAGGTTAAAATACTCTGCGATGCATACTTTTTGCGATATTGAGTCATAAAGCTACGAATAAGGCTAGAAGCATACAAGATCTATAAAGGAAAATGTGGTAAATAATAGAAAATGCAACACAATAATAATAGCACAAATCTGAAATCTGAGATAAGGTGATCAACTTCAGACAATTCAAAATCAAAATTGACGACAAAAAGAAGACTTTAACTTGAAAGATACTTTGTTTTCGCTGCAAATAAAAATCTCAAAAAATTGCACATTTTATCAGGACATAATCAGGACATAAATGTAAAACAAGACAAAACAATAAAAACCTAAACATGTCTTGGCTAAATCAGGACGTTGGTCCCCTTAAGGGCGGTAATAGACTAGCGTAAAACACGCGGCGGGTTACACGCGACGTTTTTCCCGCTGAAATGGAAACAAGGAATTCAAATGGGAGTGACTAGCGTTTAACACGTTTAAAACCGCTAGCTAAACGCCGACGATTGCGTGCCAGCGGGCCACACGCGGAAAACGTTGGCAATGCAATACATTGCTTCTTACGAGTTTGAATACACTAGCAGCGTTTTTTTCTATGATTTGAGAAATTCAAATGAAAATATTTTGTTGTAAGTCTGCTGCTGAGAACAGGGTGCACTCAGTATCGCAGAAAAAAACGCTACAGTGTATGCAGAGGCAGCCTAAGCGGGGCGGGTGACACGCCGCGTGTTTTACGCTAGTCTATTACTGCCCTAAGGCTCCCCCCTGAAAGCTGTCGTATACCTATTACATGTACATTTATTTCATTGTTTTCATATTTCATTGTTTTCATATTTCATTGTTTTCAGCCGTAAATTTAGACTTGAAGAGTTTCTTGATGTTTGTAGTGTTTCTTTAAAGGTAAATAAAGACCAGGATAATACAGGGTGATTCAGCTTAAATGACCCACTTGACCCCTCTTGGCAGTCAACTCATAACACACAAAGCAATTATTCCTTGATTCATATTAGAACTTTGAAAGTTTCATGAATCAAAGTTTGCTGTTCGAAAAATATCGGAAGTGTCACTGTCACACGCACATGCAACAATACATTTCAATCAATGTCAATTTTTCGAATAAACGCAATTTTATTTTATAGAAATCAAAAATTAATTATTTCATAGTCGATGCTCTATGTGGCCACCCGCACTCTGCTCACAAGTCACGATTCTATTCACAAAACACAAAAACAAACATCACTAAACACAACATTATTAATAAAGTTTGGATTATTTTCTAAGGCCCGATTGTACATTGCGCGCTTAAGCTTATTTCGAGCCTGGCGCTGTCTCTTGTTTGTATGTTGAACTAAAATTGGCGGCAAATTTAAATACTTTATCATTCAATTTTAATTTTCCTATTACAATTTAAACACAAATAACTAAAATTTTATAAAATCAGTTATATGTGTTTAATAATAATATTTTTGTTATGATCAAGATATAAAAAAGCACATACAATGGACTTAAATTGTTTATTTATGAATTTAACAAAATTGTACCACACATTATGATAGCAATAACTAAAAGTAGGTACTAAGTAAATGGATTTGATTTTTACATTTTTGACTGGTAGCTCCTGCATTCTTAAAAAATYCTGCCGTTCAAGATAGTTGCCAACAAAATATAACTGAAAGAAGATAGATTAGTACTGTAGAATAAATGGTTATACTGCTGGGCACTACAGATTTAGATGGCGACCTGTACATTTGCTAATATATGCTCTAGTTGGTTTTCATGAAAGAGCAGTACATTTGATGTGTAGATTTCATGCCTTTTCAAGTTGATAGAATCACGCAAAACTTTAGAATATTTTGCATCGTTTCCTTTTGATATGATCGTCTCAGGTAATATAAACCTTAATTGCAAAAGTCCTTCTTTAGCCCAAACAACTGTTGCGAAGAATTTATCGTGTAAATTTTTTGTTTGAACTTCTTTTACTTTATTTTGGAATCAGATTATTGATTATTGTCTCATTATCAATCCCCCCAAATGTTGAGCAAAAATTTCTCGGTACCACCGAATTACGGTGCAAAGTGTTTTAGCCTATCCGGACTCTCTGTTTAAACTGCGGTCAAAATCACAGCGGGAGACACATTATTAGAGAGACGTTCAGTCAAAATTTATTTCTTACCTAAAAAATCATTCTTTTCTCATTCTACAAATGTGTTTTTAGAATCAATCAATGAAAATTTCTCAGAGTCTAAACCTACATTGAAAAACCCTTGTGATATCGTCCAAGTGTGATGACATTAGCTGTAAAAGAGCTTAAAATCCCCCCTAGTTCTAGAAACAGACCGCAATTCGAAAGCGAAAATTTTCCTTTCTAATTATGTTTTTACCTGTTCAAATTTTGACCGCAGTTCAGATGTCCCCAAATTTCTGGACTCTTCCCCAGCAGTTTCAAGATTCTCTTGAGGAGCATTGCTGCTGGATATCTTTTAGGAGAGTGTTACCTATTTCAAAACTTGAAAACTTGAAACTTGAAAAATTCTACCTTAAAAGTAGATACTAAAAAACGAAACCAAACAAAATTTAAACACACAATAAAAAGAGCATACCAAGGACAAAGTATGTAAC